GTGAAGATCCGCAGCACTTCCGAGAATCTCATTTGACTCATACATGTGTTATGTTGATCCTAACATGTTTCAATGCATCAATTGACCCCTTGTACATCTGAAGGCATCACATCTGAGGCAGGTCTTTGTTATTCTGAGATACTGAATAGATAGATTGTACTTTCACTGTCACTGAGTTTAAACAAAAATCTGTCCTCAGTGAGATTGCACTGGGTGTAAATAGCTTCACACTTTGATGTAATGCAAAATTACTTACAAACTGAGAGGATCCCAAATACAAAGCAAGTTGAATTTAAATTATTCATAAACACCTGAGACAGTTTACCCATTCCTACCGTACTGGTCGAGAGCCCGTCACTGGTCAGTGATGTGTAAAACTGATCGTGAGCACCTATGCTCAGCGCCACATGCACGCAGTGCGCCGCACTCCGCCGGCTTGATAGCCACTGATAATGATCTTCATATAAGGACAGGAGCTAGGCCTATAGGTCATAAAAAGAAGCCCTGCTGAGCTGAAAGTGGATCTAGCCCCACAATTTTTGGGGACTAGAATTAAGGCTGGATAGCTCAAGAGCTAGCTCCAGAGGTGGAGTTAAGTTGTGTTCCAACCGTTTTGGGTGCAGCTAGCTATCTCTGGAGCTAGCTAAAGCGATAGCCCTCCGTCTGAACAACCCCGGCTATACCGTGAGGGACAAGAAGGAATTGCGCAATGTTAGCACTTTTAAAGCAAGTTTGATTTTACCAAAGTCATGACCAATTATGACACAATGATGTGAACTTTGCGACAGCGAATTTGCAGACAAAGTGCAGCAAAAACCTCCCTGGGTATGATTGACTTCAGATGGGATGCAATGGCATACCTTCATGTACTGATGCATGCGACCAAAAATGCGGATAACATCAATTTTCCCTCTCATTTCCCGTCGACTACGGATCTCCAAAAGCAGGTGCATATGTTTTCCATGTTAACACGTTCCGTCAATTACTTGTACTAGTCCATTATGTACACGTATCACAAAAAAAGGGATACAATCACCTCTAACAGATCAATCAAGAGTACTGTATTCACAGAGAATTGGTTCATAGAAAATAAAAAATTATAAATGGGACTCTGAAACACTGATAAATATATATGTAAGATTGAACCATTTAAGAGTACTTTTGAGGTTCAGAAATTTATTGAGGCTTGGCACAGAAAAAACACTTTCTTGTGCCCCAATCCCAAAACACCCTTTTTCTGTCAGTGACGCCAGTGGCAAAATTAACAAATATAACGAACACTAGTTTTTATTAACCTTGGGCATGTATTTTTCAAAAATCCATCAGATCAAAGACAGATAAAAAATTGCCCATTTGTTTTACATACGCGTGTACACACAGTTTGATTATGGTGTAAATCAAGGATTTTCTCTTGTTCCTCTTCCCTTTTCCTTTGTTTGTACTTTTTCGCAACAGCTCTCATTGGTTTTGTACACGTTTTCCAACCGAGGAGTCCTCGATTTGTTTTCCGTCCTCGATTCATTGATGATGTTGCACGTGTGTCCTCGATTTACACCGTAAACGCGCGCACGTGCACATATTAAGGGCGATTCTGTTCAGCCACACAATCTTCTGAAACAATGAAAATAATCATAGCTTTATCCATGACTTGGAAAACGATGATGGTTATCAAGTTTCACTGCAACAGCATTTGAACTGCCCCAAGGCAAAAGGTTGAATCTTGACCAAAACTGAGAAGCCGGAACTTGGCCTAAACTCTACGAACCAGCCCTGAACAAATAATTCCATTTTGGCTAAATTACGAAGCTCAGGGCAATTTTTAGGCGAAGAAAAAACCTGACCCCCATAAGAGTCAGTTGGCCGTGGACTATACTTTTACACTTGTACAAGTTGCCAGAAGCAGTTGGGCTAAGAATAATACTGGAATAAAACAAAAACAAACAAGTGGAACCTTTTAGTTTTGTTTGTGTTTGTGTGCTATGGGGGTCAAGGATGCATGAGTGAACCGCAATTCCACTCCCGAAAGTTTGGACTTTCTTTCAACTTTCTTTTTCATAGTACATATTACAATAGAATGCGCTTGGTTTCAAGAAAGGTGAAGACTTTGTAAAGAAAATTGCCAAAAAATAAAAGAAAAGTTTCCAAGTCTTTTCACGTATTCCTTTCATGCCGTGAAATCTTTGAAAGGCTTGAAATCTATCAGGGAGATTCAGATTTTTCAGTTTTCTTTTGTGGTTTCAAAAGAATTAAGTGCATTCGGGGGGAGGGGGGGGGGGGGTTTTGAAGCAGTTGTCAACAATAATGTGTTCATGTACTCGGGCAATTGGCAAACTTTATATTTTGGTCTAATTGCACGTCGCGTAACAACAACAATCGTATAATGGGTCACAAGTTCAGATTCCCTGCGCTTGAATTCAGACCAAGTCCAAATCTGCTCCACCTGGCCGCGTCTCCAGCAAACATCTGAACACAATTATTCCCACACGTAGCCTAAGGCGCAAGATATATTTAACGTAGATGCACACGGCAGATATTTCTCCAGCAAATCCTAAGTGGGTTTGGAGTCATTTTCCCGAAAGGTCAAGCAAAATTCTTTTTTCCGATCGACAAGTTCTTTAACGAGGCCTGGACACTTGAAATGAATTTCTCGACAACATTCTGAACAAGGGAAGGGCAGGGCTTAAGATGTGGAACAACAGGCAATTGGAAGGTTTACAGGTGAAAAATATTTTCCCCAGAACTAACTCCTCCATCATCAGTTCAATTTTGTGCATACACCAGTATGAACAAAACACAGCGGTGCATTAATAAGTCTGTAAAAAGACAAAAGTACTCATGAGACCTGAGAGGAAGGGAAAAAGCAGTGCTGTGCTACTCAAACTTGTGTAACAATTTAAGTTTAAAACCTTTTTTCTGTACTTAAGTTCAAATTAACAGTCATCAAAATGCATACATGTGTACTCAGCTAAGTACATCCAAAGCATAACAGTATCCTAGTATCAGTGTCATTTATTTTCCCCCTATACATGTACCGGTACCTGTACCTGTTCGTGAAACCTGTTCAACTGCAACACTAGTGGAAGGGTGGAGGCATGTAAATTTCAAATCGGAAATTATTTCCAGCATGTGTTTTTGGGATTCGGAACCAACTTTGGTAATGTGTGTTTTCCTATTGGTGGACGGTACTGACCAGTCAATATCGGCGTGACTTTAAACTGACCTCACACCATGATACAGGTAACTGTTCACACCTTAAGCATGGCAGGTCCCCTACGTCCCTCACACAGCCTAGCGCAAGATGCAGCCCATGTTGATCAGTCAACTATAAGCCAATCAGACACCAATGGCCGTGAACGGAGGAAGCAAGCAGGGAAAGCCCTATCTAATGGTGCGCGAACAGAACCTACCAACAGACCAGAGTGTCAGGCAGAGGATATGGTGGAGTTTTCGGGTTAACAGGTTTGCCACCAAGTGCAGACGAAGACGCTTACTAACAAGGCGTCACACAGGGGGACTAAACACTGGCGACAGAAGAGAGAAAAAAAAAGAGGGGGCAAGAATTGCCGAAACGAATAGGAAGTTTTGAAGGAACTGAATCATGAAGAGGGCTCGGGGTTCTGGTAGCTTTCTTCCTTGAATGTGCCCGTTGATTTCCTAGTGATTCTTCACCGTGCTGTGACATACGAGGTGTTGTCGATTGAAGATTTGCAAAGGGGGAACGAGGGGGAACTGACTTCAAATCATAGAAAGATTTGGGAACCTGCAGACATACATGCACTTAACATGACGATGGATAGGTTGAATCTCAGTCAGCCTATACACCCCTTTCCTATAATTGGAATATACCGGTAGTACATGTCACGTCTTACAATTATTCACAGCTCCGCAGCTTGGACATACTTGCATCCAGTGAGGTAGCCGAGATACAATTTCAAGATGTTCACACAAATGTTTCAATGAGCTAGATTTAAGCCATCAAATCCAAAAGCAATTGGGGAACTAGTTTTATGACCACACATACTGTTCAACTCTCTGTAAAATTTTCAAAACAACTGAATACTAATTTGTCAGGCGTACATGTACTTCGCCCTATCTGCATGCAAACCAGTACTTGCACGAGGTGTGTCCCGTCTACTTGGCTCACGAAAGTGGTAAACAAAAAAAGCGCCCTCTCTTGTTTGCGCACTGAGCCCATATAGACAGGGCAGAATGTGCTCGCATACTCATAAATTGTCAGCACCTCAGCCAATCCACCATTGAGCCAAACCAGAAAAATCCGGATTAGGAGGGGAGGCAGGTGAAACCAGACTGCAGGACCAATAACAGTCCCATAGTGACTACAAGGGAAATTTCATGGGAACTGAATCACAGTATCAAAGGGAAGGGGGTGCCTTTGCGGGGCTCTAGATGCGTATCCTTCTCCTAAACAAAGCCAGGGTATCGAGAGCATGGGGACTACCATGGCAACTCAGATTGGCAATTGCTGCCACAAAATCTCTTTTCTACTTATAGCTGCAGACTTTTCACACATTAAGGCAAGCCCCATCCATATGGTATTTTTCAAAAGCACGTTTGTCAGACTTGTTTCTGGGAATTTTTTTCATTGTCTCAAATGCACAAATTAGGCACTTAGTCATAGATCCTCAATGGTCATGATGCCAACGAAAATTTGCCCAACGGACTTCTTTGGGTGACGGTACTATGAACTCACTGTGAACTCTTACATGTACACACACTCTTGTTTCACTATACTCTTGAGGACAATGCTTTGTGTTTCCCAAGGGTCAATTTATAACAGAAAAGCACAGAATATTTCTAAGCACAGAATATTTCTAAGCACAGAAAATATCTGCTTTAATAGCAAAACCAGGTTACCAGCCAAAATGTCACGTAATGTACATTGCTGGTGACTGGTTTACAGCAGATTTTTTGTTAGGCTCAGACATCTGCTTAGTGATATGTTCCGTTAGCAGCTCCCATAAAATCAAAACTTAGCTTACCTTTGAGTAGTACACTTTGTTGCGTCTGGTCAGCCAGGTTGCGGCCGTCGGGCAGGGCATTCTTCAGGTTGTCGATGGAATTCTTCAGCGAGTCTCGTCGCTTCTGCTCCAGGAGTTTATTCTGGGTGCGTCGGTCCACGGGATTGAGGTCTACTTGCTGCTGGCCTGCAAGTGCAAGGAGGGTACAGAAACAAAGTTTTTTTTTATAGCTGACAACACCACATTGTAGTTTGGTTAAGACAGAAAGTTACTCCTATAAGAGCTAAACAAGTAAATTCCCAAGCAGCACCAGGAACTCTGGTACACAACAGTTCAATTATACATGTACAAACGAGTACATGTACATTATCTTTGCTCAAACCCACCCTAATTGATTATAGTTGGACTAGTCTAGGTGCCCATTTCAGACGACCAACTGAGGTTGGTCTCAACACTGGTTACCAAAGCCATGCACATCATTAAGTCCAGCAGCCAGGACCAAGACACTTTGTGATTACACTTTGACTATTATCCTATTGACCATCAACTGTTTGACACGGAGACGTTTGCACCTTGCTATTCCCCCCCCCCCCCCTTGAGCCGCAAAAAATAGGATATTAACAGAAAAAATAGCATACCGGTATGCCTGCTAAACACCCCTCTTAACAGCTCCACACCCCCCCCCCCTTTTGAGCCAAACCTGGATTGGAGTGGATCCGCCCCTGCCCTTAATCCATCTAAAGCCCCTCCCACGTATTGCAATATTTTGATTAATGCTACAGATCCCAGATACGGTACCGATACATGTATATACATTGTGATGTTCATTGGTTTTGTACGTAGTGATCAGCTGTGTGTGGAATACTTTGAAACAATTTTTAAAAAGAAAGAGAAAAGAAGCCATTTTATCAACATTTTTGACCAAAAATTGAATGTGAAGTGAAATATTTTACTCGGCTCAAAATTTGACAAAATATCTATAAGAACCTTTACTGCGGAAACCACGATGACAAAAAATAACATAGGATGCGAACAGTTTTAAATGTAAAATTCCTCTATTTTCGGTATCTGTTTCATTTCATATTTGATTAGTTTTTCACAACATTCACATTCCCTGAAAAAAAATATAACAATCAAAACTCCATGGTGGTCACTTAATTTCATGATCAAGTCCTGAACAAACAGGGTGCACTTGTTTGCCCACAGAGTTTGTTCTTAGCAGATCAATAACAACAATTATTCCGTAAAGCGAGACAAAAATCCATGCCGGCACGGCTAAAACTCTGGGAAATTGAGGGTTCAATTTAATAGTTGCATTCAGAAAGGATCGCTTAAATCACGTCCTCCAGCTTAAGTTTCATACATCGCATGAGTAGTATTGATTGTACGCACGCAGAGAACGGGCCATGTTGTCACGCACATGTGGTACCAAAAACCACGTAAAAGAAATTGCCATTACAAGCTGTTCAGCAGGGTAGGGTTGTTCTTGCGAAAGCAGTGACCGGCCTTAACCAATATTTCGATTATTATCAACAAACAGTAAAAAGCCATTTTTGATTTTCATTTTTCATCTAAATATGTCAGACATTGCATGGACCATGAAAACAGGCCCCGTTCTTGTCAAATCTTTTGAAGATTGCTCAGGGCCAGTTCCATGGGTGCGTACATGTACCTATGTTCCCCGGTCCCTACATGTATGTTCCCGGTACCTATGTTCACCGGACCCTACCGGGTATGTTCCTCACAGAGTGACCCCATTCATACACTGTATATCCAGTAATAGTTCCACGGTGTCGGACGTACATGTACGTTGTATACTCAGACAAATTGATTTTTTTTCGTGTACCCATTAATTAGTTTTTCAGTTCCAAGTATAAACACCTGACCTGTTGAACATTGTTAGAAATAAATTATATTTAAATAAAATACAGATAATATGCTTCAAAATGATGTATGTTTCATTTGTGGCATTTGGATTTTTTTTATAGTTATGGTAATGAAGTTTATAATTCTGTGGAATTGCCCTCAGTATTTTTTATCAGGCATACATAACTGTGCATATGTGTAGATATGTGTCTAGATAGCAATCACCCTGCCACTGGAATACAAATTCCCCCATACGGTACAAATCATCCTGGAGTGTTAATTGTGTACACCACAAAAAAAATGGTATGAACTACATGTTTCATAATGAAAAGAGACTGTGACCTTATTTCAGGACAGGAAGCCAGCCACTTGAGGCAATTTGTATTTTATAGCTCTCCGTAATTAATCTTGTTGGTAACCTGCAGAGCTGATTTTTTCCTCTCTTTTTCCCCCCTTTTTCTTATGTAGGTGCAGCCTGTGTATGTGTGCCCTTGTTGTTAAATAGCCTTTTAAAGAGTTCTGGACGGCTATTAAATTGAAGTGGGGTTGTAATTCAGTCAGTGGGGGTTACAAAGCGAAGGCACAATTTGAACTGACAGGCAGGTGAGTGAGGACGGTGGAATATTGGAGCAGGCGTGGTTAATGGGTTGGCCAATTACATGGTCCTGTTACATCGGAGTTCAGACTGCCAACAACACTTGCGCACCTGTGCACAGTACAATGTACCTGTGTATTGTTGATGTTCCCAAAATGGCTTTGCCCCTAATATGGCACTATTTCATTTTTTTGCCTCCAGTGACTTGCTAGAGCAAAAGTTCTACGGTACCTCAAATTTCACAGTAAGGGAAATTTCATCAAAGTCTAAACATTCCCTTTCATAAAAGAAATTTACTTTGCCTTGATTTTCCGATTATATTTTCAAGTGTGCAGCGAACCCTTTTAAAATGTGGCCAAAAATAAGAAAATCATCTTCTGACAAACATGTAGTTGGATATATGTGAGTGGAGAAAATAATGGTTTATCAGAATGTGTCAACTTTCAAGAAATTCTGAAATGTTCACTTTGGAATTTCCAAATTTTTTTTCAAGTGCACCAAGGTAAACATGATATGGATCCCATAAGAAATCTGAGGAAAGTTACAAAAACTGCATGCCTGGACAGTCTACTGAACAAGAAGAAAAAATTAAGGGATTATAGTAAAAAAACAATTGTCAAGTCTATCTCATCCAAGTGAGAAATTCTTGATACCCAAGACTCAAATTACATGCACATGTAACAATACAACACTGAACACCTCAATGCAGTCCTAAATACCAAATGAATAATCACAAATTTGCAACTTTGCGACCGCTCCCCAATCAATAGATGAAAAGAAACCAAAAAAATCAGCCCTGGGGCAGTAAGACTGCGGCCCCGGTGGTTTTGAGCATGACCCCAATAGAGAATAGGCAACTCGGCTAGAAATGATTCATCCGCGCGCACCGAGGGGGGATCGCTGGCACTATATGAGAAGACAATGATGCCGCAGCCCGAGACATTGTTATGGAGGTGTTTGGGTCAATGAACTAGATTCCGTTGACTGGGGCAGGATGTGATCCGCACACGTGGGAACGGTCCGTGAAATCTGAACAAGCAGGGACGCATCATCCAAAAAAAATATGGATTGTCAGCGGTCATGTTGCTCAACTTTCTTTGTAACAGCTACTTGTGTATGTAGGCAATTCCACAGTCATGGAGATTACAAATTACAAATTTAATGTTATCCGCAGTTTATTTCTGAAGGTCTAAGAGGTTCAGCGAATATGCAATCATGTGCAATTTGTTTTGGAAGTACATATGTACAGTCGACTCTCTTTAGTACAAACTCTGTTAATACAAAATTCTGGTTATAACAAACATAAAGCCTTGGTCCTGACTGTTCATTTATCTGCACAATGAATGGGACTGATGTTCCTCTTAATACAAAATTCTGATATAACAAACAATTTGGCTAGGTCCGAACGAGTTTGTTATAACGAGAGTCGACTGTACGTACATGTTTACAACTCCTTAAAAAAAACAACTTCAGGACATTAACACTAGTGCACTGTGTATTTCATACAGTTTGTTATAACGAGAGTCGACTGTATGTACATGTTTACAACTCCTTAAAAAAAACAACTTCAGGACATTAACACTAGTGCACTGTGTATTTCATACTACAGCTGTAGTTTGAAATGCTTCAGCATATAAGTGTGCACAACACTCATAGTATTCTGTAGTACTCAGTTCTTTATCTCAAAGTAATGGCTAGGACGTTAGGGTTAATGCATAACAAACGATTCATTTTTACACCTACCGGTATTATATCTCATTTCTGTGTTTCATGCATTACTATTCCTGCCACAATGTATGTGATTAAGGGAATAAATGTGTGCTCGAGAGGTTTTAATCACTCTGTTTAAGACCGCTTAGAGTCTGGGTGCTGATAATTACCCGAGCTGGAGGCGAGGGTAATTATCAGCACCCAGACTCTAAACGGTCTTAAACAGAGTGATTAATACCGACCGAGCACATGTTTATTCCCATTCCTAAATACCTTTTCGGTCAAAAAAATCCAATATTTCGGTCAAAAAATCCCGATTTTGTTCAACAAGTTCACTTCATGCTTTTTGAAACATCCCTCTAGCTAAGTAATGGAGTGTTCAGCTGGCGATTAAGATGTAAACAACCCTTTTATGGAGATTGACGCGCGCGTGGCACGTTCTGTGCGATGTCGCGCACAACACATGTGGGGCGTTGCGTTTTGAATTTAGAACTATAAAATTCTGACTCACTGGTACCGTAGTGTTGCGCATGCCTACGTGAGGACTGTGAATGTTCAACCAATAAAACGGTAAAAGGCACCGGATTTCATGGGAGTCCACATTTTATATGACATTGGAAAAGTGTTTAAGACCAGCTAGCCATGTCTTTATCATCTGTTTAAGACCGGCCACGTGACGGGCTTTTGACCAATAGGAATGCGTAAACTGTCTTAGGTATTTATGAATAGTGTTTTTTCCCCAGACATCCCTGGAATGCCAAAATCAAACAAACCACCAAGGTACAATTTGGGTTCCATTACAAGCAACTTAAAAGACGATGACATTAAGTTGCAATTACATTTTTTCTTTTCTTCCTGGGTTGAGAGGAATCGAGTTCCAAATGTATCTGATGCCGGAGTCAGAATGACAGGCACGGATGAGAGAGATAAGTGGCACTGGTATCTCCTCCTCTGGATCGCTTGGCCCGTATCCAGGGAACTCATGGAATTTGCATTCGACGATGCGGTCCATGCATCCACTGCCACAAGATCATCATCATCATCATGCCTAAACGGATTCAGGCTGAGAGCAGTACTGATGCATGGGGAATTTTTCTTGAAGCGGCTGATCGGTTGTGGTGAGGGGGGAGGGGGGGGGGGTGGTGAACGTTGGGGCAAATTTTCGGAAGATTGAGAAGGGGTGGGAGGGAGGGCTGGATGCGGGCAAGTAAGGGGATGGAAACAATTACACTAAAATGGGAATTTCATGATGAAGATTTGTCTTCTGGAGATAAATATTACAGTTGAGTATCCATCATGAGCAGTGATGCGTTTAGCTGCTGTTGTCCTTTCCTTTCTCTTTTTCTACAGACAGTCTGTCTATCAGATGAAACGTCTTAAGTTCACTTACTTGCAGTGGATCAATGCCAACTGCAAAATAAGAATGCCACGAATTCAGAACTACATGACTCTGAACAGAAGTCAATACATCTGCTACACATTGTACTTCTACATAAACCTCATATCTGCACCCCAAGTACTGTACATGTAAAACAAAGTTTGTGGTTAATTCACATGGTACAGCCATCAACAAAAGCGTCTGAAAATAAATTTTGCACTCGACTCATATGTAAATGTAGTTCAATGCACAGGAACAGACAGATGCCACTGACAAATCATTCCAAATATGGACAAGCTTTTGTCATTTTTGTTTTATATGAAAAAGTACAGCAAGTTGACAAATTGAACAACCAATTTCCCACCAAATTTAAACATCCTTATCACAAATCAATCTAAACCTGGCAATCAAATGTCATTTTAGTACTAGAATGAACCATTTGTTTGGGGAATAATAGCGCCCTCATTTGGTCACAAAAAGAGAGGGTCGTTGCGAGAAGCCCTCTTATCATCGTAGCAATTTAAAAATACACGCACTCCACATTTGTAGGACCTGTCCTTGCTCCTGGCCTAATTGCACTCCAAGTACATGTACATGTACGTGGAGATTTTAATATGTACGGAATTTCAAGTTGAGCTTTAATCCCATCTGTTTATGAATGGCTGGTCAACAACTGGGTCAAACCAATAACAGATTTGTGGTCTGCGCTCTCTTAAACGATCGCCAATACCAACCTTGGTGACCCAATTAGACTGGATTGTTGACCTAGTCCAAACCAAAAAAAAAGGACTCGGATTTATTTGAACTCAGAGAAAAGGATTTTTCACTACAATGCTGGACCAATGATAACAAAATGACCGAATACTTAGGTGCATAATAACTGAAGACTTATTGAAATTAACTATGAAAGTATAAGTCCAATAGTGGCTACAAGTACATGTACATGTACCATGTACATGAACATGAACAAGACAACAAAATCAAAGATATCATGTTTAAAAAAAATTGAAATCATGGGTCTTAAAGCGAAAAACAAAATCAGAGTACATAATATTCATATGTACCGGTAGGCCTATAGTCTTCATATGGAGCCAAATTTCATGACACATGCCGTGTACGGAGTTTCAGCAAATGGAATCTTCATTTCCTTCACTGTCACTGACTGTACACGGTTCAACAGTGAACTGCATGCCAATTGTGGATGTAGAATTTATTGCATTTTAAAAAGTGACACAAGAGATCTCCATGCATGAACATGTACATGTATCATCAAATATCCTTCAGACAACCACAAGTTTTCTATTACAAGATCTCTTCACATGTAGCTGAAGTTAGTCCCACCGGTACTTAGGCACAAACTTACACCTGGTGTGTGAATTAGATTTTGCACTTTCTACCTGCTGCCTCTCAACCCGGCCACTAGGGTGACTGCTCTATGTTCCGACACCCCTATGTTCCGACAGCCTAGATTGTGTTACTCCCGGTTAGGGTTAGGGTTAGGGTTAGGGTTAGGAATAGGAATATGTGCAGTCGGAGCATAGGGGTGTCGGAACATAGAGGTGTAACCGCCACTAGTGTGCGAACAAGAGAGGGCGCTTTTTGACCACTTTTGACAGCCCGTAGACGGGACAAACAGCTTCCGCGTACTTATTCGCACGCGTATAGCATGAAGTATGCACGCAACTCAGTTTATTCTGTATATGAGCACAGACCCATGGCGTCTTCGCATTAGTTTCAAGCGTCTTCGGCAATGCGTTCGAATGTCTCTCCTAGTGGTCTCTCCCATTTCTTCCTTTCTTACCCTTGAGGGGGTACCTGTGCACAGAGCCCATAGAGTGCTGGACCCGCGTGGAAGCCATGTCTGATTCTTGCAATGTGTGAAAGGGGTTTCTAAAATCTCTGAGTTGGATGAAGGAGATTTTGGAATAGTGTAAAGACCCTTAAATGCTCCTGTTGGCCCAATGTTTTTGCTTATAATATTCCAGCGACTCTAGGTACATGTACATGTAACTGGCCCCGGGTATGGTACATGTATACACGAAGACACATGAACATCACATCGATGATCTGTGTGCTAAAGAAGGGAACAATGAATTGGCACCAAGTGCACACATACATAAAGGTGCATAAAATAAATATAAAACCGCATTTCAGACACAGAGTACATATGTACCTCACACCTTTTGCATTAACGGAAGAGAGTACACTAAAACGAGGTTTTCCTCTGAGCTTAAAGTAACACCAACAGTTTACAAACTCAAGCAAAACGTAAGTTACAGAACCAACATGTATAGCCCGCACAATCTCACAACCGCCCCTTTAAGATTGCCTTGCAATAAAAAGTGAATACACACAAGTAATAATTCGAAGTCAGAAGCCAGCCAAGGATCTGTGTGGTTCAACCCACTGTAGGCTGTGTCAACAGTGTACAAAATGGAGGCCAGCTCCCGAGTGAGCCAAGCCAAGACTTGCAGCATGGAGTGGCTGAGTACTCTACCATGAAACGATCTGCCCCATGAGGTTTAGCTCAAACCATTATGCCAACTACATGTACAGTATACCAGAAGTTAATACTTCTTTAGACAAATCAAGGGTAGCTGAATGACACTGTTAGTGAATGGATGTCCTTAAACTGACAGAATAAATCACATAAGTCTGCCATTGCCCTGAAAATGTTCGTACATATGAATGATTCTGCCTAAGATAGATTTTACATAAAATTCAAGCAGATCATTATGAGGTTATCTGACCCTCTTGAAAAAGGCATTATTTCTCCAAGAGCTTTGGCAATGGGTTTGGTTCTGCTTTAACAACCCCCTCCCCCACCAAACCCCCCCCCCCCCCAATCTTAGCAAAATTTACAGGGTTTTTCTTAGTGATTGACGATGAAAAACTTTCCATCAAAAACAATAACTGTGCAAATGAACATACAACTTCTCCAAAATAACTAAGCTGTACACATTTAAACTGTATGTACTGTACATAAGTTCAAGTACATGTATACACATGAAAAAAGTAACCAGTTCATGATGCACCTTTTCTTTCCCCCCTTTTTTTTTTTTTTTGAGTAAGAGCCAGGCAGAACATTAAAGGGTGTGCACTACGCTCAGTCAAACAGCTGAGGTCAAGCTAGGGTCAGGCCAGACTAGCATGTTGGGACTCATATTACATGCGAGGAGCATACAGGCTGATGGTGTAATAAATCTATTATCGCCCCCAGCGTACCCAGGTGGCATTGCTCAAGTCAAGGCAGAGTCCAATGACAAAGTCAATGATGGGCTGCAGCTTAAACTAGAGTGCTTAACTTTCTAAAAAGTTGAAATAAAGTTTTCCAATATGGGTGGGTCATTCTATAAATGTGAGGTCCTTTTTTCCCCTGTCCATGTATGTTACATCTGACATCTCTGATTTTATTTTAATAATAATAACTAATTGTATAGCGCCAAATCCATCAAAAATTGACACTCAAGGCGCTTCACAGAACCAGTTCTGATGCACTTAATGCAGTCTTCCTCCAAGAGTGATTTTGAATTACAAACTTCATGTACCTATCCAACAAATGAAAATCCGTTTGAAGTCATTTTTAATGATACTTCAATGGCAAATTACCGGTACAAAGTTATAAGGTAATGAAGACAAGAAATACATGTATATATACCGGTATCACACTTTGAACCCTAAATCTATAGAATGAACCATATGTGAACCATGTCGGAATATCAAACACTGTACACAAACTTTTTAGACAAGTTTGGATACTTTTTATTTGTGTCGTTCTCTAACACCTGTTAAAGACTGGTGTGCCAGTGTTGCATCAAACCAGCTGTTCCGGAAGATTTGAAGTACTGTACTTGAAAAGATTGAAGTTTAAAATGGTTATATCAAAAGACTGACTGTTACTGTCATTTGGAATAACTCAGGAGTCTATGGGCTCCGTGTACAAACAAGAGAGGGCGATTATTTACCAACTTTTGAGAACCCCATGATTGGGACACCCTGGGTGCGTAAAGATGTTCGTGTGCGTGTGGCGCGAAGTACGCACGAGTAGTTTCATTCTGAATGTGCACATAGCTTTTTGCGTGAACGTCAGGCATCATCAGCAATGCGTTCGAATATCACTCCAAGTGGTCTCCCCCAACTCTCCCTTCCTCACCATTGAGGGGGTACTTGTGCATGGAGGCCATAGTCAGTGGAAAATTAATTAATACCAGTACATGTCTGAGACACAGCCCAACTCTAGAATGCAAGTCTGACAACGGTGTATAATCTTCCTACAGAAAAGTGGAGTCTCTAACAAGTGTCTTTTTTTTTACATTAAAAAAAATCTTCATCTTCAGTTTTGGCTTCATGTGAAGCTCAAGAACAACTAACCACCTCTACTTCTTTGACGAAATGAATTACTCTGGACAGTTGGCATATATTTAGAAATTTACATGTAAGGCTCAGATGCAGAAAATGGACCTGCTATTCAGCCTCTGGCTTCCAAGTCAGTGAACTGAACTCACAAAACTGGGGCCTGAAAGTTGAAGTTGGAGATGTATTAAACCGAGGTTTGGAACCCCCCCTCCCCCCCCCCACCCCCAAGAAAGGCTGCAGAGTAACACTAACAGTGCTGACCTACATGCGCGACATCCAAACTGTCACACAAGATGGATTAGCCCTCTCAAACACTCCTGGCTTTAAATTGCAAAATCCACACAGATTCAGATGTTCCCCCTTCACAAACTCACTTTGTCTTGCTGGGATTGTCAGGACAGAGAAGGCTTAAAACAACCTGCGGAAATCAATACGGGAGCGAGAGCAGCTTCCTGATAAACTGAGAGGAACTCTGGAAAAGAGGGACCGGCATTACGCAGAGTTGCAGCGCTTGCAAAGAGCCGGCATGGAGTATTTGACATGCTGTTAGCTCGATAAACTTCAACCGTATCTTGATTTCATCCATAGCAGAGCACGCATGCATAAATGCACTGGCTTCTACACCCTCAAAGTACGAAGTTGGTTAAGAGTACAAGTGATTACACATGTACACACCAGAAAGTAAACTCCATGTATACACTGCACTTGGTTGTAGTTTTGCCAAGACAGCTACATGTATACCACCACACTGTAGTGGAGAATGTTTGTCCTTCAAACACAGCGGCATCAACCACAGTAAGAGACGCACAAATTTACCCACAAGAACAGCATTGAGCACTAGGCAACTTTGTCTGGTCAAGTGGGGGAGCGTTTTAGAACGGACACAGAGGGGAAAAAAAATGGCAATGCATGAGCAATTGTGCGTAGCGCAGGAGCACTTGGCTACATCGGATGACATTTGCTTTCCCATTTTACCGCGTCGAGTGCCGATTGTCAGGTTTTTGACTGATCACCCGGCGTTTGAAATGTGCACTGAATTTTCATCGGGTGCACTTCCTTCACGGATACTGTTGACGTTTTAGATGCACAGGGAATAAAACTTAAAAGGACAAGGAATTTTTTTTCTACAAAAATTTAGAAAGGTGTGCAAGAAATGCCAACCACAAATTATCCTTGAAGTTTACTGGATCACATAGTCCAAAAAGAGGACAATGACTAAGTAGCTTAGTTGCAAATGCTTGTATAGGACAATGGAGTTCACCTTCCAAACAAATTGATGCTGACATGAATAATCAGGATTTGCCTTTCACCTACAGTACATTATTACAATAAACATATCTCAGTGCATCCCAAAAGCCTATTGATCCAAATCTCCATGTTGGACATGGGTTCAACACAAAGATTTCGGGAACCCCTTTGAGTTTTACAAGAATCCAACACCGCTTACAGTACACGGGTATGGCACTCTACACAGAGGCTCTACCGGGGTAGAGAACATCCACAAACCAATGTAAGAGTGAATAATGTCATGCCTTGCCTCCTTATGTTTGATGGTATCCAGTTCCGCTTATGATGGACCTGTTTGAAATCAACATGGTGTGAAAATGGTGTGAAAAGGCCTGTAGACAACTCTAGCAGGAAATTACCATAAACTTTTTTGAACCAATGTTGTCCAAGATCTTCTTTTCCAACACCCCACCCAAAATACCCCATTACCCACATCTTCTGACCATTTTCCTCCTTTTCTAAAGTCTATGATGTTGACAGAATAATAACCCTTCCTAGACAAATTCTGGATGAAACTAAACAGGCAATGAAAGCTCTGCATTGATCTGTTTTGGATTTGGTGGTCAGAGAGTGACAGTAAGTGAAAGTATCCCCATAAAGCCTGGTACCGGTAACTCTCCTTTTTATGGACAGTGGATAGCCCAGGAGGACTGGGAGTTAATCTTATTGGGGGGAAATTGGCCATTATTCAGCAACTTGTAGCTGTCTCTTCTGATTGTTATGGCCCCTCTAATGAGTGCAGACTGACCCCTCCACAGCAGGTGCACGCACCGAGTGATCAGGCCTGGGACTTTGCAGTACACACATTGGGGTATGGCTTGGGCATACATAATCTGACCATCACCATCTCTTGCGCAGTACTGCATATCAGGCATGCAACTGGGAAATCATAAAAAAGAGGAAATTCCAATTTTCCCCAGACTTTGTACAGTGTTTTTCTATTTTCAATGGCACACATGGGAAGTAAAAAAAGAGGAAATCAGCTGATCCGAGGAAGAGTTGCATGCCTGTGCATATAGTAAACATATATGTATACCATAAACATATTACACATGTACTATGACTTAACCAGAACTGAATGTCATAAATTGTTTGTTATCCGGGTATTGGTAAAAGTTGAACACCCCCTCGGACTGACAAATAAATGGTTTACTATCAAAATATGTGGCACGGAAATCTTCTAGTAGAACATGTAGATTCTCTTTGAACGTATAAA